CTGGCCGGAGCCGCCGGCCGAGGAGCCGTGCTGGACCGAGGGCCGGAGTTGGGGAGCCCCGGGTGGGCGCTGCGGAGCGCGGGGGGTGACCCCGGAGCTGGACACTGTCRCGATTTTTGGCAGCTGGGACCCGACGGAGGCGAGGACTGCAGAGGGCTGGATATTTTTGTTTTATTTTTCTTGCAAAAACTGCTTTTTTTTCCGAGGAATTCTCGACATCTGCACAATGGACCTGCACCCTCCCGGGTGTTGCTTTTGCACTTGGAGCCCCTGAGCTGAATCTTTTCCAGAGTTTATTCTTCTACCGAACGAGGAACTAAATTTATTTGCAATAAAATGTCTGACGTTACTCGTGTTTGCTCTTCCCTCTGCTCTGCTGGAGCCGTTCCCAGGCCGCTCCTGGGTGGGTTTTGGGGTGGGCTCTGCATTCCGGGGGGGCCGTTTGTAGGGCCGGGGGTTCCCACRCGTGTGTGGCCCCTGCGATGCCGCTGGAGGAGAAATTCCCACCCCACCCTTCTCAGGAAAAAGGGTCTTTCCAAGAAAAACACCCCCGCGCTGCCCTGAGCTCCGTGGGAAACTGAGGCAGGGGGGTGGAGGGGGGGAGCCGGGTTTTGGGATCCTGGCCGTGGGAACGCCACCCAGGGGTGGGGGCAGCCGGGAATTCCCCCCCCCCGCCTCCATCCACCGGGAATTCCCTCCCTGGGTTTGCCCTCAGCGTCCCCCGGGGGTGGCAGGAACTGGGGACAGGAGGAGAAAGCCGAGGGTTCCAGGGAAAGTGAGGCACGGGGTGGGGTCTGCGGGTGGGATTTGCGGGGGCGCTCAGGAGCAGGAGCTCACCTGAGGTCACCCCCGGCCCCCGGTGTCACAGCCGGGTGGCCCCGGGACCCCCCCGCCCCGCCGGGACCGGGAGCGCCGCCAGCCCCGGGCCGGAGCCAGGACACGATGTCCGGCTGGACAGGGACACCGCGAGCGTCCAGCCCCGCCTGGGGACACGGTGACCATCGCGGAGTGTCCCGTGGCTTGGCGGACGTGCCCTGCGCCTTCCCTCGGGYTTTGATTRCRGGGGAAACTGAGGCACGGAGGGAGAACGGCGTGTGCCAGCCCCGGCTGAGGSCACCCCGCTCGGATCGTGGGGGTCACAAGGGACCGAGGTGGTGGCGACACCTTTTGGGTGGCCCAGYCGCGACCCCCGCAGTGCGGCCGGGGGGGTCTCACGGTAAAGGAGCCCCCTCCCCCGGGATCCCCTGGGAAAATCYGAGGGAAAGCGCCCGAGGGCGGCTGAGGCTGCCCCAACTCGTTTCACTGACGAGCAGCCCRTGGGGTCACGAGGCCATTCCTGTCCCCGGTGTCACCGCGGCGGCGTGACCGGTGCGTCAGGCCGGGGCCGTGTCACGGGAGCGGTGACGGCGCCCCCCCAGACCCCTCCCTGTGCRCCCTGCAGACCCCCCAAAATCCTCCCCTCCCACCCGCAGGACACCCACGGAGCGGCCCCGACCGCAGCCCACCCCGGAGCGCCCCCGGGGCGCCGCCCACCCGGGGCCGGGTCCCTGCCACCCACAGTGTCCCTGTGTCCCCCCATGGACCCCCCGGGACACCGCGAACAGCAGCTGGGGCACCCCAGGGATCCAGGAACCCCCCTAAGACCCCCCATCATGGGCACAGAGACCCCCCCAAACTGCAGCGTGGGGCACCCCAGGGATCGAAGAATCCCCAAAACCCCCACCCCATGGACCCCAGAGACCCCATGGGCCATCCCAAAGGGCAACTGGGGCACCCCAAAGGGCCCAGAAACCCCCAAAAGACCCCTCCCCATGRACCCCAAAGACCCCCTTAGAAGGGGGAGGACAATAGGACCCCACATTCAGCACAGACCATGGGACCCCCACCCTTCGGAGCCACAAAGGGGGCGGCGGGGTTTGGGGTTTGGGGTTTGGGGGTTTCGGGTTGGGGGTTTGGTTTTGGGGATTGGGAGTTTGGGGAGGGGTCCCTGATTCACCCCCAGCCCCCCCCGCACTCCCCAGCACCAGGAATGGGGGTCCTGGGCTGGTTTGGGCTCGGCTGGGGAGACCCCCCCAAATCACCGCCGCGACCCCCACCATCGAGCGGGTAATTAAGCCCTAATTAAACGATAATTAGATAATTCGTTAATAATCAGGAGGTCGAACCCAGCGCTGGGGGTGCAGGATGGGTCCTGGGCACCCTCCCCCAYCCCCAAAACCTGGCACGGAGGGGCCGCGGGGACACGGGGGGTGCAGATGCCACCCCCGAACGGGA